CCAGCAAGCCAAGGAGCAAGTGGATTGTAATAATTGTCAGGGTCAGTTTAACCCAGTTGAAGCAAAACTGGGGTCCTCAAAGATCCCCTTGCAACATTGAGGTCCTATGGCGCAGACTTCACTAAGTTCCACTCAACCATGGCCATGGCAACACGACTCACGAAGAGCGTCAAGGCTTGATTCGCGTGGAAGTCGAACAGTTTCGTGTGCGGATGGGAGCAACCTCTCTAGATTTGGCCAGGGAGCGTTTGCAGCGAGCGCGCGCTGCATCCAGTACTCCACTTGCTCCACTGAGCTGGCATGCCTGGGTCGGTTGCCATGCTCAGCAAAGGCTGAGACTCAAGCACCAAACCGGCTCCAGCCTTGGCCAAGGGTGGCTCCGCCGCGGAAAGCAATGCTAAACCAAGAGGCCCCTTGCCTGCTCACTGCCCTGTCGTTACGGTTCTCTCATCTTCCCAGAGTTTCATGATCTCATGTACCGGCACTGAGTGTTTTCCATGATGGGTGATGCTCAGCTTCCTTTTAAGCATTCCCTTGAAACAGTGAAAGAAGGTTACACATGTCTGTACGTGTACATATGATATGTATATGTATGTGAAACATACACACCTATATATATATATATATATGTACACGACATATTACATGTTTGTACGAAGGGTCCGCACTTCCCCTCGCGCCTCTCGCTCCGCAACAGCGCGGCGAGGCCGAACAGCCAGTGGCGGCCACTCACGGCCCGCAGCAGCCGCAGCAGCTCCTGTCCGAGCGACGCGACGCGACCGAGCGACACGGCGACGCGCCAAGGCCTTACCTCCCTGCGGAAGCGCGGAGGCGTGAAATGGCGGTGGGTCAAACGCCCCGGACCCCCTGTGAACATCAACCAATCCAACCACTATAGACTAACATGGGTGGTGAATTCACCTGCCCCAAAATGGGATACCATTGGTCTTGACCAGCCAAATATCCATCTTCCCAAGGCCTCAGATGTCTGCTGCTTTCGAATGCTGCATCCCTCTTGGATGACATCACGCTGGCGCACTGGCGCAAACTTTTACTAAACGGGGGCATTGCTGGACTGCGTCGCACAGCTGTGTCGAACGCCAGGCCTCAATCTTCGGGTCCGATGGTTCGATGCAGCGCTGGAAGACAGCCACCAGGCCAGACCCGATCTGAGGCTGGGCGAATCGCAACAGCGATGAACCAGGCGCCTCTTCGTGAAGCGAACCACTCAATGAACACCGTAAGAAAGGTGCAGGGAATGAACGAAAAAAACAGGAAACACCCTGAGCATGAAGAGACGCCGGGGAAACTGAGCAGAAACTTGCAAGTGCTTCCTGAAAGTCAAGGTGCACGCGAGCAATAGCTGTCCACTTGCCTGTGACAATCTGCCTCACAGGACCTCAGCCTCAGTGCAACCAAGGAGCCACGGCCACCGGACTGTTCAGGGACTTCATCACAAGCTCCTCAACCTGGCGCGACGGGCGCCCTTACAAGCCTGAACAAACACCCAAAGCTCAAGGTCAAAAGGCGCGCTCGCATCTAGTGGCAAGCTTTGGTACGGCGCTAACGCCGATCAGACACCCTTGGCTTGTCTCCCTTTCTGGCCTCGCTGAGGCGAGAGTCCTTCAGCAAGCTGTCGACCACCAACTGCGCGTTAGACTTGCATCTCTCAATGCCACAAAACATTTTTTCTCCATAGGCAAAGACTTCCCAAACTTCAGAACCTCCTCTCTGACATACTCATAACCAGCTAACCAACCACTTCGCGCACCGAGCGCTAGGCCGAAGGCCCTAGGGCCCTGGGCCCTCGGCCTGGAAGCTCTTGGGCGCAACTTGCAGCGACTGCAGCCAGCGGCCGGCGCGGGCGGCGTCCACCTCTGAGCAGGCCTCAAGAAGAGAGCGAGCACCGAGCGGTCGACAGCCGCGAGCCGCTCACCCAGTAAAAGGGTCTAGAAATCTGCAAAGAATTTTCAGAAGGCGGAACTCCGCGGCAATTTCTGGCAAGGGGTTTGTCCCTTACTAACCGAGTCATCTACCCAAATCGGTTTTGAGCACGTGGCTCACACCAACTTGCGAGGCTGGGACTTCGATTGAGCGGCTGAGAGAATGGTGTGTGCCGCCGGGCCAGATACATCCGACCTGCGGTGTGCAAATTTGGCCCAGTGGCTTCCAGTGGCATTGCGAGGCATCTCAAAATCACATGTGAAGATCGCCTACCGAAGTTGGAGAAATCTCTGAACCGAATCCAAAATCACATGTGAAGAATTAATTGCCCGAAGTTGGAGAAATCCTCTGAACCGCATAGAGCTTCGCAGCTCGCTTGCCTTGCCAGCTGACGGAAGTGAAGCTCGGCGGCTTCAAAGTCACGGTCACGGCATGCGGCAGCGATGAAAGTCACCTCCAGTGGAAGTCTCAGCGAGTCAGAAATTCCCACAGCAAGCTGTGCTTTTGGGCTTCTGAAGTATACAACCCCAGGGCGAACTTTCCAGCCTCAGCTTGCAAGTCCGGAAGTGCAGCTCGCCTTGCCGAGTGAGCCACCAAAGATCGCATGAAACTCTGGATTCCAAACGCTGCAATATCCATCCCACAGATCTGCCACTCCCTGTCCCTTTCTCCGACATGGACAAAAAGTGCCGCAGCAAGTCCAACAATTCTATTCATACACAAACAAGCATCATATGGCTGTGGGTCAAAATCCCGTACCCCCAGTGAACATCCCAATCCCCACTAAAATAGACTAAAATGGGCGGTGCACCTACTCCAAAATGGTACCATTGGTCTTGACCCACAGCCATATGGCAGCTGACTGAACTCCGTGCCAGCTTCTCAAAGCATAAATCAACTTCCGGGAGCTTTATCGCGGAGCTTTTGTGCGGCTATCGCAAAACTTTCGCCAACAAACAACACACAAGGACCTTTCGGACGACTCCCCCATGTGTTGTCCACCCCTTTCCTAGCTGTTGCCTGAGCTTGGCTCAAGGTTTCGCACAATCCGATCCGTCTCCATGCCTTGACTTCACCGGCGAGGCTGGGACCTGAACAAAAAAAAGAGCTGCGCCAACTAGTGTTGAACATATAATTATTTCACCGAATCTCACCCAATCTGATCCGCAAGCTCAGCTGATCGCTTTGGTCTGGCACTTGCCAAACGCAAACCCTGGAGCCCAATTTGCCAAACGGATCTGCACTCCATAGGGGTCATTATTTTGACGGTTTCTGGGGGTCAAGGTCAGAACATGGTTGGTTTCTTCCCTTCAACGCACTGAACGGGGGTGACTTTGATCATGGCAAAATGAGGCCAGCTCAAGTGTCCTGGGTCCCGGCCTTCGGCTTCGGGCGGGCTGCCACAGCCATACCCACCGTGGCGAGCGCGCATAGGCTCAGCTCCCAAAAACACGAGGATGCCTCCTGCGAAAGGAAGCCAGTCAAACCTCCCCGGGTTTTGCGAGCTATACATTTGGGTTGGGCAAATGTGGTTGCTCACGCTTTCAACTGCCAATCTTCCAACATGTGCTTGCTCACACATGGCACTCCTCAACGAAAACCAGCCCGTCAATCCATCCTCAGCCACACGGGTGATCTACACATGGGGAGGCTTACATCTAAAAGGTCTTGTTGAGTCGTCTTCCTGAGACGTGCCTAGAAAGCATCGGCCAGCCAGTGCATTCCCATTCTGATCCCTCGGCGTTCACAATCGAAAGTAGGGTGCGGCTCAAAATCAATCAGTTGGGGTTACGCGGGTGTTCGTCTTTGGTTCCATTTGCCAAGGGTGCCATTTTGGTCTCCATGTTTGTGAGCCACAGCCAGTACTTGCGAAGGCACGGAGGACAAGGCCCACCAGGATGACCGAGCCAATGAAGAGCACCAAAGGCCAAAGTGCTCCCTTCTGCAAGAAGGTGTCGATTGCATACTGCTTCCGTGCCTGCGATTTGACCATCTTACATTTGGGTAGTGAACTGTATTTTCCCCTCATCTCCTCAAAATGAACCGTGTGCCAATGATGTCGTCAGCCCTCATGGAGCTGCGCTTGAAGCACTACCTTAAGTTGCATGGCGACCGCGACTCGATTCCCGCCTTCTGGCAAGACCTTCGAGGCACGTGGTCGTAGTTATGCATCATCGTCGAATCGTTTGCACTGGGAAGCTGTGAAGTGCCTCACTGCCATAACTTTGCGCAAATCCCTCGAGTGTTGGCGCGGACATGTTGCCAAATGACTCGCACGCAAACTCTTGGCTTCTGCAAATGATTCCCACGAAAACTTGCAGATCTCCCTCTAGGTCACCTTTTCGCATTTTAATGCTCCAACGCATGAATCCCATCTGCTCGCCGCAGATTCATGCTAGTGAATAGTTTCCCGGCACCAGACCCACAAGCCTTGCTTTCAATGCCACAGTGTTTGTATGGATGATTTTTCCTGACCCTGCGATCTTGAACTGTGCCGAGGTGCTTCTGAGCCAAGCCGTTGGACAGGACTAGTCCTCAGTGTCAGCCCATGGCCCATGTCTTGACGACCTCCAGTGCGGCTTAATTCAGCAAAGGTGCCGTGAGCTTGTTCAGTCGCTTGCGCGATGTGGGAAGGATTGTTCCCACTTGCTTTGAGGATAGAGAATAGCTGCGGAGGGAGCGGGAATGGATGTCCTTGACAAGTCGACATCTGAAAACGATGATTCACTTGCTCGACACGATCGTGGGGGAGCTTTTAGTCTAGCTGAAAGATCCGCATCTCAACTCGACAAGGCGACCCGAATGCGCCCATCGGCACCGCTAAAGTCGAAACCAAACTGCACGTCGCATCTGGGTCAACTGGGATACAGAGGGCAAAACTCCTCGTTAACCTTCGGTGCCAGTTTCAAGTTTGCACTTGATGGACTGAGCGGAACTGAACACGGAATCCTCACTGGCTTAGTCCATTGCCCTTGCATCGCATCTCAAGGCGAGCATGGAGAATGCCATGTCTCAAACTCAGCGCGCATCGGAAGGTCGTGCGGTCTCAATCCGAC